AGGTTATGCATGTTAATAACTAGATCAATTCCATTTAAAATTCTTTGTTATCCTGTAAGAATAACTTCTTTTAAAAAATTGATCTTCCACTTCAAGCAAAGGAAGGCAAGAATGCTAATACCATTCTATAGTTTCCAATTGCTAAATAGTGTGAATACAAAAATAAAATACAAGTGTAAAAGTTTTGTGCTATTAAAATATATACAAATAATAGGCAGAAAGTTATGTGGAGGTTACATGATTCAAGGTCAATATATTCAAATCAACTGCATTTTTTTTATATATCAGTAACAAACATATACAAATGAAATTCCAAAAAATACAAAATACTAATGTTAAAGAACATAACATACCTGAGGAAAAATTTAACAAATATGCTTAAAACTTTTACACTGAGAACTGCAGAACACTACTGATAGAACTTTATAAAATAAATAGAGAGATAAAGGATGTTCATGAATTGGAAGACTCAGTGTTGTGAAGAATTTAAATAAATTCTCTCCAAATTGATCTACAGATTGAATTCAAACCCATTGGATATTCCAGTAAGTTTTCTATGTAAAGATTAAAAAGATAATTATAAAATTTATATAGAAATAAAAAGGATTTAGAATAGTCAACAATCTTTAGAAAGAAAAACAAACCTGGAGAAATCAAACTACCTACCGGTAATATCAAGCCTTCTGTAATACTGAGAAAAATCAATATTATGTCATCCTGGCATAAAGATGGTGGAAATCAATGGAACACAATAGATTGTACAGAAATAGATTCACACATAATCAATAGATTTTTAATAAAGGTGCAAAGACAATTAAATGGAGTAAAGAAAATATTTCCAACAAATTTTCTATAACAACCTGGTAAATGTATGAAAACAAAATGAATTTCAACCACTACCTTCCATCACATATAAAAATTATTTGAGATACACCATAATCATAGATGTAAAAGCTAAAAAAAAACTCTGTAGAAAAGAACTTACAGAATGCCTTTGATCATGGGTGTAGGCAAAGATTTTTGTAGATGGGACACAAAAAGCAATAATCACAAAAAGAAAAAGAGGAGATAAATTAGACTTCCATAATTTAAATGTCTACCCACCAGGTATTCTTTAAGAAAGTGAAGATCCATGTCACAGATTAGGAGAAAAAATTAACAATGCATATATCTGACAAAGGATTCGTATCAATAATATGTGAAAACCTTCTGCCTCATAATTACGCAATAATAAAAAAGGCAAACAACCAAGTCTTGAAAAATATAGACAAAAGACATGAGCAGGCACTTCTCAAAGGAAGGTACACAAATGACCAATAAGCACATTTTAAAAAGCACTTGGCATCTTCATCAATATAGAAAAACCAAAACGAAAGCCATAATGAAATACTCTCCTATACCCAACAGAGCGGCTAAAATTTAAAGCCTGATAAAAACAAATGCTGGTGAGAATACAGAGTTCATATACAGTACTTTCCTCTTACCTGTAGGAAATATGTTCCGAGAATCTCCGGCGGATGCCCACAACCACAGGTAGCACCAGACCCTCTACATGCTACGTTTTGTTTTATGCATACACAACTATGATGTTTAATTACCAATTAGGCACAGTAAGAAATTAACAACAGTAACTAATGATAAAATGAATCAATTGTATCAATATACTGTAATAAAAGTTATGTCACTGGCTTTGGGGCCATTATTAAGTAAGATCCGGATGCCTTGAACACATGCCGGACGGTACCACAAAAGCGGACCCGGCGACGGAGAGACTACCACGTGACTAGGGGGAGGGAAGCACGTACAGGGTGCACAAGCTGAACAGAGAGATGGGCTACATCCCAGACAGGACTGAGCGGGATGGTGCACGATTTCGTCATGTTACAGGACAGCACGCGATTTAAAACTTGAGAATGGTCTATTTCTGGAATTTTCCATTTAATATTTTCAGACCCTTGTTGACCATAACTGAAACCAGGGAAAGTGAAACTGTGGATAAGGGGGTATGTTTCTTTTGAGAAAGCAAGATAATGAAACTACTTTGAAAAAAAATTGGCAGTTTCTTACATAGTTACAAAAATGTATCCAACTTAAGACCCACCTATTGTACTCTTAAGAATTTACCGAGAGAATTAAAACATGTCAGTTACAACGACTACAGCAAAATCTCCACGGAATTTTTATTCTAAATAGTACTCAAAAAATCAAAAGGAGAACGGATATACAAACTGTGGTTTGCAGAATACTACTCGGGAAGAAAGGCTACTCTGCATTGTAGGCAGCAAGTGGATCCATTTAAAAAACAATATGCTATGCAAAAAAAGATACACACACAAAATAGATACTTTCTGCTCTGGTTTATATGGGATCTTAGAACAGTCAAAACTAATCTATGGTGAAAAAAAAGAAAACTGATTCCCTGGAATAGAAGTTGTAGGATTGACTGGGAAGGAGCACATGGGGATTTTCTTGACAGGCGTGTGGATTATGAGGTGTTTGAATTGTTAAAACTCATTGAACTGTAACATTTAATATCTTCTCGTGTGACGATATGTAAAATATACATCTTTTAAAATTTAGAAGAGAAACATCATTAAAAATTCCCTGTAAAAATTATTTAATCAGGATCTTTTTAGAATTGAAAATGATTGCCATATTAAAATGTAGGATCTTAGGTGATTTTTAAATATTGCTTTCGCTGTTTATTTATTCACTCAGCAATTATTGGGTACCTACTATGTGGCTGTCACTGTTCTAGATGATTTGAACACATCAATGAGCCAAAGGGAAGAGATGCTTTCTAGTCGCTAACAATTCATAAGGGAGTAGGGAGAAACACAGACAACCAGATAAACCATAACAAACAAGTAAACATACTGCTTAAAAACCTGAGATGTGCTAGGAAAGAAAGCCTGGGGCTCTGCCATATTATCCTGCAACTGCTTGACACCATTTTTTAAAAAGTGCCAGTTATGCCTTCCATAACCGATTAGCATTTTCGCCCTTATTAATTGATTGATTGTGCATTAGACGTGTTCTGAAATAGGGGTGTGTCTGTGTGTGTGTGTGTGTTTAAAATGTGCTGAGTTATCATCATTGCTTTATTCCTTGACACGTCAAGATGTCACCAGGGATAGGTGAAAGGCTGGTTTCAAGGACACTGTGCGCCATGCTTATTGCATTTCACTGTTATCCCGTCATAGCCACATTGAGTTACCAAGTCCAAGAGCAGCCCTTTCTGTCTTCTGTGTAAAAGGCAGGCTGCTCCGATGGAGCAGAATTCAGACGCCCACGTCATTAAGATGGGGCTGCACATAAAAGATGCAGCACAGGTAATTTAACACTGACAAGAAGAACGTACTCTAGGAATAATTTTCCCATATGTTATGATATCTGGCACAAAACTTAAGTCCTGCTTTTCCCCTTCAGTGTCCTGCTGTGAAGGAGCCACTGAGTTGATTTGTTATCTGCTAGTGAGTAGTGAGCAGGCCTTCAGCTATGGGGAGACTCTTCCTGTATTGTCTCCACGAGACACAGACTGAAAACATAAGAAATCCCCCAACAAACAGCAGTAATAACAATGATTCCAAAGTTTCTGCAATGAGGTCATTCAGCATAGAAAAATATTAAGCCTGTGTTGTTTTTCTATAGCTAGAAAACATACGCAAAAGCAAAGTGTTGTTAATGTTTGCTCTTATTTGTCATCTTCCATCACATATCTTAGAATAATTAGTTTCTAATCAAGCTCTATAGATGTACCAATTGACTCCCAATCATAAATATATGCTGCCTCAGAAGATTCTTACCTAATAATGTGTTTATTTGCCAGGTAGCTTACAGCTTCTATTTTCCTCTCTTTGCCTGTACATGTGACCCTGCTCACATGGAATGCCTTTGTACCTGCTGAAATGCCACCCACCTTTCTAATGCCACCTCAAGTCCCTTTCGTTGGTGAAGTCTTCCTCACCAGTAGCATCAGAAGTGACTTGTCCCTTCTTCTGGCTCACATAGCACGATCTTCCATCCCACTTACTTGGTCTAGAATTGTAACAGGTTATACCCTGACTACACAGACCCCTCTCAGAGGCTCATAGCCTGCTTGGGACAAGAAAAATTGTAGGCTCTACACACACATCTCATTTTAAATCTAGGCTGCATTTGCAAAATTGATTTGCAAACTTTGTTATTACGGCTTTTGTAAATGATGACCCCTGGCCAGCCCACAACAGCTTACGTCACCCAGACAATCTCTGACATCCAGTGGTAACAGCACCCTTCACAGGATTATTTTCCTGAGAAAATGCATTTTCTCAGAAATATATGCCATTTTTTTCTACCCTGCCAACATTACATTGATCAAAAATGTTTAAATGATCGAAAATGCTTAAATGGTTACTGACGATGAAATATTCTCTAAATTCTATCAAAAAAGGGTACCTGGCTTCCTAAGAAATCCACAAGACTGATCCTCTGCAAAACCTCACACGAACTTTGAATGCTGCATGGTTTCCATCAAATGGAAAAAATGCCTGTCGAATGGGGTGGGGTGGCCAGGAGCTGTGGCAACGCCAAACCATCGTGTCTCAGGCTATTCCTGTTAAAGGAGCTCGGCCTTGCCTGAAGCCATTGAGCGGAGTCGGCGCATTGCCCTGTTTGGGCTGAACTCGTAATAGCACAAAAGTTTAGATAAGAAAATGCTACTTGGCCTTTTCAGCATCTTCTCTCCTACTGTTCATGTACAGTGTTTGTTAGAGAAGGTGTCTAAAGATGAAGCAAAAGACATGAAATCTGATTTGTGGATGGGTGGCTTTGCTCTGAAAAACAGCCAGTGAAAATATGGAAATAACAAACTCTTTGAAACAAAGGAGATTACAAAAACTGAGCTAGTTTCCTGCTCATTTCCTTTTTCTTTTATTCCTGTCAGATGAGCCAATTTGTGAAAACATAGCCTTTCTCTGAAAGCCCAGTTCTGGGCCAGAAATTAGCAGAGTTTCTCTTACCTCTTAGTTCCCCCATATCCAGAGTTGTCCCAAGTTGTTCTAACAAAGCAACTCGTGCCGCGTTCTTTTTGTGTTTCTTGCCGTCGTAATGTTGCTGGGCCATCAGAGGATTATTAAACCAGGCTGCGCAAAGCCCACAGTATCTGTCTGAGTCTCTTCTCTGATAGGGAGAGGCGACCACCGGAGCAGTGTCCACCCTCGGAGGCTTAAGGGAGCTCAGGGGGGTTGCTGTGAGGGCAAACAACCAGAGAGAAGTACAAGCCTGGTTAGCGCACTTGTCCTCAATCTCTGAAGGTGGAAGCATCTCAGGTCACAGAGCTCAAAAAGCCAAGAGCTTATTGAGGACAGAAAAATAATCTTTGCCAGCCTCTGCACTTTGAAGTTAGGATACAATAAATACTCCTAATTTATTGAGATCGGAGTTCTCACTTTGCTTACCTCAGATAGGAGACCATTCCTTAGAAAGAAAAAAAAAAGATTTAAAAAAATAAACTCTTAGAGATTAGGAGTGCTCTGTTAATCAAATTGAAGCAAACCATGAGGTAAACATTGAACAAACATGACTTGAAATATTCTGAATGAATGAATGGATGAGACATTTGTATGACATAAATAGAAAGGACCAATAAATAAAGGGCTTGCCCAAGTGATAGCAGACCCTTCAGTGACATGGATTGTACCAACTGGTGAAATCGTGCTAATTTCATGGTCAGTTACTTCTGTTTGTTGTGATAGGTTATTTTCAAACTATATCTGCTAAAATTAATGTTGAAAGTGCACTTAAAAAAAGACAAATACTACAGAACTGATGTTACTTATCTAAACTGAAAAGGAATTACTATCACTATTTTGAGATTCCACAGTCCCAGCTATTGATTTAACACATTCCATTGTGAGCTTATAGTTTTTCATTGGTCCAGGCAAAAAAAATTTAAAAAAATAAAAAACCACAGCTTGAAGTTTACTAACAGAAAGTAAAAAATAACTTTTATATACCTCAAAATAAAAGCTATTTTCATCCTCATACTAACTGTGACTCAGATTACTGTCCCACTTCCCAGATGATGGACTTGGAAGATGCCAAGTGACTTTTAAAAATATTTTTCTTATTTACTTTTAGAGAAGGGAAGGGAGGAAGAAAGAAAGGGAGAGAAATACTAATGTGTGGTTGCCTGTCACTCAGCCCCTACCAAGGACCTGACCCACAACCCAGGCATATGACTGGCTGGGAATCGAACTGGTGACCCTCTGGTGTGCAGGCCGGTGCTTAATCCACTGAGCCACACCAGCCAGGGCAGAGATGCCAAGTGATTTACTGAAGGTGAGATCTCTACTTATGGGAGAGGTAGGACTCCACACCAAATCCTTAATTTCTAAGACCAATGTTTCTTCTCATGCCCCTAAGGACTCTTTTCATTCTTCTTAATAAGCAAAGGGATTTTATTTCTAGACCTCAGCCATCTTTGTATTTTATATAGAATTTAATTTAATTAGGGGAATTTTTTATTCAAATATTTTGGCGAAGAAAAAGAAATGTAAATTCTCACATAGCCTACCAATTATAATGCCATATACCATTATTTCTGTTTGTCCTTTTCTCTGTGATGTGGAAGGCAGCTGGCAAAACCATGAATATTAGCATCATTCTAAGAAAAAGCTGAGGTACAGAACATCAATAACAAGTTAAGCAACCACTTAATTAACCCTCCAAGCTCCCAAATAACTTTTCTGTGGATTTTTACTTTTTTAGATTAATGAACTGACATAGAAGTTCATATTTGCTAAATGACATTTTAATCTAAGGAATGCCTGTAGTATAACACCACCTCAAGAAAGTCTTTTCCTCTCTACCCAGAGGTTTCATCAGATAAGGATGTGTTCACCGGCTTGGACGGAGCCTTGCTGTTGTTTCTGTGTGGACTTAGAGAGATAGTACATTTCTTAAAAGCTCCGTGACCATGTTCCATTGCAAATCACTACGTGAAAGCAGGGCTCAAACCTGAGCCACACCATCCGAGCGGCCACCTCCTGTCATCCTGCTGGGTCTTGGAAACCTTAACAGAAAACTGTAAATACGCAGTTGACCTGTGTGTGAACGGCCTACCGTCCAGTTTTCTGAAGAAAATTGGATTTTGCTTCCCAAGTTTCCTGCATCCTTATTAATTTTTGAGGATTTATAGCTGCCTATTGTTTCTTAGGACAACGGAAAACATATCAAATGTTTGCGATCTGAATGAATGCTCACCCTTGAGGTATAATTTACTTTTCTCTAAACTGGGCCCTAAAAAAACATTTCAGAGTCTACTTTGTCAATTGGTACTTTATATGCCACATTCTAGAAGGAGTGATGCAGGATAGAGTGTTTGTCAAATAAGATAGTAATCTTATCTTGCTTTTAAGAAAACGCTTTGAGGCTGTGTCTGCATTGTAGCTTCTCTTCTCTAATAATTCTGTCCTCTGTATAGCGTGGAAATTTAATGCCTTGTTTCCAACTGTCTTCGCCAATCTCAACCCAGTTTGTATTTTGTATAGAGGCAAACTAAGTAGTGTGAGGGGAGTGGAAACAGCTTTGAAGCAAAGTCCGCTGTCAAGGTTGGGTTGGACTCCCCCACCACTGGCCTGTATAACATTTTGCATCATTTCTGATGTCTCTGGTTCCCACAACTATAATATTCAGGGTCACCATCTCTTTACAGCCCACAGTGTGAGTGATGGAATGAGTTGCAGAATCTCATTCTCTCTTATGGCTTTAACCAGATGCCAAATAACAGAATTGTGTGCAAGGAGAGTATTTTCCAGGTCATATTGCTAAATCTGTATGGATATTTGGACCTTAACACCCACATTTCTTTGGCAAAGGACATTATTTTAATAAAATAAATATGAAGTAGGATAAAAATTATCCTTTGGTTTAAAACATGTTTTTAACAAAACTGGTTAGTTGGCATAGAGTTAATTTTTATTTTACTTCCATGCTTTATATTTTCTTTTTTTTTTTTAGATTTTATTTATTTATCTTTAGAGGGGAAGGGAAAGAGAGAGGGAGAGAAATATCAATGTATGGTTGCCTCTCGTGCGTCCCCTGCTGGGAACTGGCTTGCAACCCAGGCATGTGCCCTGACTGGGAATCCAACCGTGATCCTCTGGTTCACAGGCCTGCATTCAATCCACTGAGCTACACCAGCCAGGGCCCATGCTTTATATTTTCATTTTAGTTGCAAATATGTTCAGCTACAGTGGTTTGTGGGGAAATGGAGACAAGTGTACTGGAACAACAATAAAAAAATTGTTTAAATAAATGCTGAATTCCCCCCAAATAAATAAATAAATAAATAAAAAACTGGCTTTACTCCCCTTACGCAGAACTTAAAACCAAGAGTGAATTCTTGAAAACCAGTGGTTTCCAAGGTTGGATGAACATTGACTCACCGAGAGCTTTAAAAAGTCTCTTATACCCAGGTTGTCCCCCACACTGATTACATTAGAACCCCAGAGTAGGAGCAGGGCAGCAGGATGCTTTTAGCACCTTCCTCCCCCGCCACGGTCACCCATCTCTCTAATGCACCACCAACACTGTGAACCACTGACCTCCGTGCTGCCAGATTTTATTTTTAAATGACTTATTGTAAAGTCTTCTTGGATCTAATGGCAATGGAGCAAGCAAAATTTTTGTAGGCAATAACCAAAATGTCTCATCTCTATCTGTGAGCGACAAAGAAATAATGATTACTTGGTATTTTCTTAAAACCCCAATCAGTTTTCAGTTTTGCCAAGATATAAAAGGTTCTTCAAAATAGTAGCTGATAATATGCATTAATATGATAAAAGGTAAAAAGCAATTCTAATTCCTTTCCACGAGCAGACACTCAGATACACCTTGAGCTGTTGGACCTGCTACCTCTAATAGGCACCCTCTTCACTGGTCTGCTGCTGGGTGCCCACCCTCTCCACGTGGTGGCTGGACGCCTGTCCTGCTGGGGCTTCTCGTTCCCGTCTGTTCTGTGAGGCCCCAAGGCCTTAACAACCTCATTGTAATTTCGTGTGTGCATGTATGTAAGGGAATTTCAACAGATCATAATACTAGTACTTTGATACCTAATACTTTTGTGTTTGCTGTCTTCCAGAATCCTTTATTTTAATTCAGAAAAAAAAAAAACTCTGACATTTAAAACTATTTTTGTGATTTACTTGTCATCAAAACTGGATCTGAATTCACGAAAGTCCATCTATAGTCTATATACATATATATTACTTAGTTTAAACAACATACATATTGCAAAAGAATTATTTATATCTCAGATCATGAAGTGCAATTTCAGATCCATAGAAACATAGTATGTGATACATGTATTTTATTATATATCAAAACTCCTAAAATTTCTGGCTTTCAAAACTTATTCAGCTCCAAATATTTTGAATAAAAGATCACAGATCCGTAGCCAGTTCATAGTAACTAAAATAAACTCAAATTATCTTAATGCTTGAGACAGTTCAAATAAGTCAATGTTCAAAACTTGATTCTAAGAATTCCCTGAGACCAGAATAATTTTCAATATTATTTTTAGTGCTTTGCATGTTTGTCAAAAAGCCAGATCTCAACAGCCATTTGTAGCTGTCTTGCGTATATCTGTCCTATATTTGTTTCTTCCTGGAAAACTGACTACAGTTGATCTAACACCAAAACTCTTTCCTGAGCATCCTGTGCGTGCCTCCCACAGAACACTCCCTCACTCTGACGTAACACTGCACACAACCAGACTCTCCAGGAGTCCAGCACCTTGCATGATGGCAGACACACGGTGTACATGTCATGCCTTCTGTTGAATTAATTATATCAATGCTCTTCACATGCAAAGTGAGTAAAGTTCACTGGTAACCAGAGTTTACTTTTTTCTTCTAAATTGCATCCTTTAGCACTTGAGCCTAGGTAAATAGTAACAAATAAGTGACAAGATTATGGAGAAGTGAAAACTAAATTCTCGAAGGGCAACATGCCAAAGTATAAGCATGCATCCCAGTCTCCCTCTGTCTTTCGGATTCCACTGTATGTTTTGAACATCAGTATTCTTTCAAACTCTTATTCCTTTGCTAGAGTGGCCTTTGTCCATACATTTTAGAGAGTGCAAATATGCACATTGTTCTAGAAATTTCACTTTCAAACAGGAAGCCATCTGCTCCAATTTGTTTATCATGACATTCAAACCCTCACTCTTGAGCTTCTGGGCTGA